CAGGCCGATTTGTAACCACTACGCTACCAGAGCTCCTTAACTTGGTAGTAATTAATAAATGACTTTGTCATACTTTCTTGTATTACTACATATCACTGCCCAGTGGACCTCACACCCATCCTACTAGAGAATACTTTGGGGATTCTGAGACTATATTAACTGTATAGATAAAAATAAGGTGTCCTTGCTGTTTTAGTGTAGTGAAATGTTTCTGTGTTTGGCAATGTTTACACCTCTTTCCATTCTGGATCGTCTCTCTTTCTAATGGTTCCTGGTTCTAAATATTTATTTCCTTTGTTTTCCTTGTGCTTGCACGATCCCTCTAAAACTCAGCCTTGTAGTTTTTTTTTCTTTCATTTCTTAAGCTGCCCTTTCTCAGAGGCCTCAGTGAGATTTACTTCTGCTACTGGAATTATACCTACACTTGCATCTCAGGTTTTCAGTTCTTTCCCAAATTGGAATCCACATCTCTGATTGAGAACCAGAGACATCTAGTAAGCACAGTTGCTGTCACAACAAACAGCACATAGAACAGCAGATCATTGCATTGTTCTTCATATTTCCCCTTTTTTCATTGCCACTTCTGTTGACATTAATATCTTCTTAAATATTTGTGAAGACTGTCGACCAGTACTTATCCTTTATTCCCTGGAGTTTGTCATCAAACCTTGCAGGTTCTTACTTTAAAATAACTCCTCTTCCTTCCTCTCCTTCCTGTCTTCCATTGCCACCTTCTTAGTTCATGCATTTCTCAGTCCAACCTGAATTTCTCTCTAAATCCAATCTCTCCTTTTCAATTAATTTTACTTCTGAAATAACCTATTTTCCTGATAGATCACAAAGAGCCCTGGTATTATCATTGAGCTGCTAACTATAAGGTCAGCAATTCTAATCCAGCAGCTGCTCCATGGTGGAAAGAGGAAGCTTTCTGCTCCTGTAAAGGTTTAAATAGCCTCCGAAACCCTATACAGGTCACTAGGAGACAAAATCAGCTCTGCAGCACCTAATCTAATCTCTTTTAAATTTGTCTGTACTTGTTTGTCTTTCTCTAAAATGACTAGAAACGAGGGAAGCAATATTGTTTTTCTTCAGCTGGATGCTGTTTGTTGACTCCTGGCACCAAGGCAGCCATGCTTGGACCGAGATATTCTTCAGTATTCTTCTACGAAGCTATTCATCTACTCAACAAATGTGTTTGTAGAACCTCTGTATTAGGCACCTTTCTAAGTGCTAGCTGGGAATCTACTAATGAACAAAATGCACAAAACTCCTCTTCCCAAGGAAGGCAAACTCTAGTACTTGGAGCCAAGTCTGTCTTTATAGGTGCCTAATGAATTAGTATCATAACATGAGTCTTCCCTCAAAAGCCACAAGTGCTTCATATATCACTTATAGATTGGTTAAGAAAACCGAATATAGGCACTGATGAGAGAGAGAGTTGTGTTTAGAATTGTTTAAATATTGAGGGCAGGTAAAGATAAAATAGGCGTCCTGGTGTGTTGCTGTGGGCTAATGCGTCAGACTGCAAAGTTGTTTGAACTACAAGGTCGGTGGTTCAAGCTCACCAGCTGCTCCTTGGAAACCCTATATAGGGTCGCTATGGGTCAGAATCGACTCGACAGAACTTAACAACAACAACAACAAAGATAAAATATTCTAAGACATCTGTCCAATGGAAATCTATTGCAAGCCACATAAGTCATTTAAATTTTTCTCGAGTATATTTATTTAACCCATATAGTCAAAATATCATTACAATATGTAATCAGTTAATGAGAGATTTTACATTATCTATCGTATTAAATCTGTTTTACATTATATTGTTGTTAGTGCTGATGGGTCATTCCAACTCCCAGCACTCTGTATAGGGTTTCCAAGGAGCAACTGGTGGGTTTGAACCATCAACCTTGAGGTTCGCAGTACAGTGCTTATCCTACAGTGCCACACCAGTACAGCTTATATTAGACTTACTACATTCCAAGTTCTTAGTAGCCACATGTGGCTAGTGACCAACTATTTTAGAGAGCTCTCATCTCTTTCAGGAATCCTGATGTGGTGCCAATGCCACATCAAAAGTTTGGTGGTTCAAACCCACCAGCTGCTCCTTGGAGACCCTATACAGGTCTATGAGTCAGAACTGAGTCGATGGTGCTTAACAACATCTAGTTAGAGATCTGAAAGCATATGCTTGGAATTTCATATTTACACAAAAGCAGACTCTTCCTTTCTTTGTACCCCTGGTTTCTTTATCGACTTTGTTCTGCGGGAGAAAGATGAGGCTTTCTGCTCCCGTAAAGATTTATAGCCTCGGAAACCCTGTACAGGGTTGCTATGAGTCAGAACTGGCTCCACGGCACATCACCACCACGACCAAGCAAAATATGGAGTCCTGGTGTGGCGCTGTTGGTTAATGCGCCAGACTGCAAAGCAGTTTGAACTGCAAGGTCAGTGGTTCAAGCTCACCAGCTGCTTCTTGGAAATCCTATACGGGGTCACTATGAGTCGGAATCAACTCGATGTCACTTGACAAGCAAAATTTAGAAAAGTTCCAAGTGGCCATTCTGCCATCATAATGTAACTGCTCGCTTGTTTGCCCATACATTCTTCCCCGCCATATGTTTGAACCAACCAATCCCAGGGAGTCCCATGAAGCTGCTGCTTTATTTTTCTTCATAGCATTCATTATCTTGAAAATATGAAAATACATATTTTACAGGTTTATTATGCATTTGCCTTATTATGTGCCTCTGGCTAGAGAAAGCATTGTCCACTTTGTTCAATGGTGGGTTTATATATCCCCAGGTGAATCTTAGGTATACTTGGGGATCTTGTTAAAATGTAGACTCTGATTCAGTATATCTGGGATGGAAATGTAAATTCTCAGTAGGGGTCAAGTGAGATTGAACTGGTTCAGAGCCCTGGTTATTTTATGGTGAATACTGGATACACACCTCCCTCATGAACTCTTTCTTGACCCTTCTAATTCATAATTGTTGCTAAGTGCCATTGAGTTGGTTCCGACCCATAGTAACCCTATATAGGGTTTAGGAGGATCATCTGGTCAGTTTGAAGCGCTGACCTGGCGGTCCAAGCAGATTTTGCCACTCAGCACATAACCCACAGTACTTGCCATACCAGGACTTTTGTTTATTTCCATAGGCTCTTACTTATTGCTTAAAATCTGCATTTTGGATCTATAATATGCACTACTGGCAATCTAATCCTTTGCCAAAGAGTGTACACTCTATAGGGTAGGATCTAAGATATTCTTCGTGGATTTTGCAACATTACAGACACCAAGCTAGTGGTTATTGATATTTATTGTTGCTGCTGCTGGTGAAGATAATGATCTTTTAAAAAAGGAGATAGAATATTGTTAAGATAAAAAGGCATAGGAGTCATAAGATTTGTAAGAAAAAGAAAGAATAAAACTGAGCAGCTTTACTTTTTTGCCAAATTCTCTGGATCAGACCACAGTTCCCTGACAGAGGATTTAGGAGCAGGTTTTCTCACATCTTGTTCCTTTTGCAACCATGTTTGGGAAAAGGGAGATCTTTAGGTATAAAAATCTAAAAATTTCTGAAATGATTCTCCACTTTCTCCAGGTCCCCTATATACTACTGTCTAAAAACCATAATATATATATATTTCTTGTTATCAGTCTTAAGTTTATGTTTCTGACAATGATGAAGGACCAATGATCAGATAAGGATCAGAACAATGTGACCAAGGACCAAGGATCAGAACAATGTGGCAAGCCCTCTAATTCTGATCATGTTACACATGGTATTTTAATGGATGATAACTGTATCAGTTATTAGTATTCAAGTAAAGGTTTATCAATGTGGATTAATGATTGGATCAAACAAACCTCACGCTAAAACGAAGGACAATATGTAAACGAAGGATGCAGGTTCCGAGTTTCTATTGGGTAGTTATAAGTAGCCAATGAGAAAACGTCACACGGCATACTTCGAATCACTATAAATACTTCTATTGTGTTTACTGCAGTCAGATTGTTGTAGGCTTTTTGAAAGTGCAGATTGCTTCTGGGGTTCTTCATATCCAAGCTATCATGTCAGGTCGTGGAAAGCAGGGTGGCAAGGCTCGCGCTAAGGCCAAGACCAGATCATCTCGCGCCGGGCTGCAGTTTCCCGTGGGCCGTGTGCACCGTCTGCTCCGCAAAGGTAACTACTCGGAGCGGGTTGGGGCTGGCGCTCCCGTGTACCTGGCAGCAGTGCTGGAATACCTGACGGCCGAGATTCTGGAGCTGGCGGGCAACGCTGCCCGAGACAACAAGAAGACTCGCATCATCCCGCGCCACTTACAGCTGGCCATTCGCAATGACGAGGAGCTCAACAAACTGCTGGGCCGCGTTACCATTGCGCAGGGCGGCGTCCTGCCCAACATCCAGGCTGTGCTACTGCCTAAGAAGACCGAGAGCCACCACAAAGCCAAGGGCAAGTAAAGGACTTGTATAGAGTATTTCCACATTTACTTGGAAGAAAGAAACACAAAAGGCTCTTTTCAGAGCCACCTACACTTTCTGTTAAAAGAGCAGACACGGTCCGAAGTATTGCTCCCATCCACAAAGCGTTTTTTGCCACATGTAAGGTATAATTGTGTTTGCGACAGTCGGTCGCCACCCAGGTACTTTTGTCTCCTGTGGAAACCTTTGCGCACAGGGATGCGAAGGAAAAACACGACATACATTTAAACGTCTGAATCTTCACCTGGGGTAACTTGATGGCCAGCCGAAAGAGATAAAGATTAAAGGAAGGTATCAAGTAGAAGTATGAACGTTTTTTGTTTTTGTTTTTTTTAAAGTTTAGTGCTGTGGTCAAGATTATAAAAACCTTTACGCCTCACTTTCACGTTCATAACAGTTCATAACATTTGATATACAAAGGTAATTGAGACACCTTGACATGTATAAATTCTTAACCATGTATCCCCGAATCAAGAACTTTACGTCATTACCCACAATACAAATGCTAGTGCGCTAGACTGCAAAGTCTGTTTGAACAGCGAGGTTTGGCTGTTAAAGCTCACCAGCTGCTCCTTGGAAACCCTATCTATACAGGGCCGCTATGGGTCGGACCCGACTCGCCGGCACTTAACACAACACAACAGTTATATATATCCTAAATGCAAATTCCCATAATTGCTCTAATTGCCTACACAGTATCTTTGAGAGGATGCATTTTTAAAAAACTAGTATCCGTTATAGGTTTTCGTATTTGTATGGTTGCTTTGTTCCCATTTTAAGGCTTAAGCGTTCAGTACAAGATTTTTGTGTAGTTCAGATGGAAGCGAATAAGTCAATAAAATGACGGCATAGAAGCCAAATTGAAGGGCGGGGTAGTATTTATTGGCCAATCCAAAAGCAGCTCTTTATCCGGGCATTGTCTGTAGTAGACCAATCCAGAGAAGACGCGGGGACTTTTGAATGTTTTCAGGCTCTCTAGTTGGTTGTCTGATTCTATAAAAGAAGGTTAGCTCTTTCTTTCACTCAATTGCTTCAGGCTCCTCTCCGCATTCTTGTTATTACCTAGATAAGTCATGGCTCGTACTAAGCAGACAGCTCGGAAGTCCACCGGCGGCAAGGCGCCACGCAAGCAGCTGGCCACCAAGGCAGCTCGCAAGAGTGCGCCGGCCACTGGCGGCGTGAAGAAGCCACATCGATATCGGCCCGGCACTGTAGCACTGCGCGAGATTCGGCGCTACCAGAAGTCCACAGAGCTGCTGATCCGCAAGCTGCCGTTTCAGCGGCTAGTGCGCGAGATCGCTCAGGACTTCAAGACCGACCTGCGCTTTCAGAGCTCTGCGGTGATGGCGCTGCAGGAGGCGTGCGAGGCCTACCTGGTTGGGCTTTTCGAGGACACCAACCTGTGCGCCATTCACGCTAAGCGTGTCACCATCATGCCCAAGGACATCCAGCTTGCCCGCCGTATCCGTGGCGAGAGGGCGTAAATTCTGACTTTATTTAAGTGACCCAAAGGCTCTTTTCAGAGCCACCTAACATTTCAGGTGAAAGCAGCAGTAACTGCCCTGTGTTTAAAGGGGTTTCAAGTGGGATAAACGTTTGCAAAAATAGCATTGGGTTGTACTTCCAAATTAGTTTGTCATACCTCTTGAAAGACATTAATGAGTCTTCTAGATGATTCGAAAGTTACATTCATCTAATACAAGTTCTAATAAGGCCTAGTCAAGATGTTTTTAGTATTTTATAAAAACTTGGCCCTGTGCTTCACAGTTAAGTGTGTATCCTAGACAGCAAGTAAAAGCTTATATCCTAACTTATTTGCAGCTAAGTCGTTTCTAAGGGTTTCCTAGCAGTGACCAGTTCTGTTTAAACTACAGCGCCCCACCAGAACTCAATAGGGCATCAGTAAGTCGGGGGTGGACATTATATTGAACAAAAAATGGGACACTGGGTTCGTAGTGCTAACCCTAAAACTATTAGGGATGGTTACCAGATAGCTAATAGAAAATATTAAGCTAATGATGTTTTATGCCTAGCAATTCCATGCTCTAATGAAGGGAATAACCTGGTCAGTTTACTGTTTTCTATGTAAAGCGTTTAGGATAAAACCGCTTTTTGTATATTTTAAGTTTCAAACGTGTCAACTTCTGTTATATATGACCTTCACCTTGATACTATGTTTCCATATGTCTATAAATTCCCTGTAATTTTCATATTATTCATATAAGGGACTCAAGGCATCCGTGCTTTTGTCAACTAAATTTGTTCCTGATTTCAGTATTCGAAGGCCAAGCAATTTGTTTTTCTAATTGGTAGTGTTCTCAAGGACTCCTGGTATTGCACTGTAGGATTGATTAGCACTGGATTGTGAACCACAAGGTCAGCTGCTCCTTGGAAACCCTGTTAACAGAGTCACTAAGAGCTGGATCCAACTTGACAGCACTTAACAGTGTTCACACGTACACAACTTGATTTTTTCCCTCCATATTTCCTCCACAGATTTTATATCTGAGATAAAAAACAGAGTATTAGGTACTAGTACTGACAGGTTAGCTTAACAGCTACCAGTAAAAGTGCCCAATACTATGAGGATCAGCTGCAGAAGGGGCAGTGTCTTGGGTCTAATGCAGTCCCTGGAGCTGTAGAATATGAATTCTGGCTTTAGTTTTCATTGACTTACATGCTTAAACAGAACAACTGCCCAGTATCGAGTAAAAAAAGGTTAGTGCCTTAGAATGTATGACCCTTTTAGTCTCTGGTGTGAGTGTAGAATAAACACTGGACTGCCAACCTGAAGCTTGGCTGTTTAAACCCACCAGCCACTCCTTGGAAACCCTATTCCAGTTGCTATGGATAGGAACTAACTCAGTGGACTTAAACAACAGGGATGGACTAGAGGGAAAGTTGGTGGTGTAATGAAGTGCTCAGCTGCTAACGCAAAAAGGGCAGAGGTTTGTACACATCAGCTGCTCTAAGGGAAAAAGATGTGACAATCTGTTACCTTAAAGATGGCAACCTTGATTGTCCATTGGGAGAACTTATACACTGTCCTGGAGTCCTGGTGTGGCACTGTGGGCTAATGCGTCACAGTGAAGTCGCTTGAACTACAAGGACGGTGGTTCAAGCTCACCAGCCACTCCTTGGAAACCCTATACAGGGTCGCTATGGGTCAGAATTGACTCGATGGCACTTAACAATATACACTGTCCTACATAAGAAACTCCTTGGAAACCCTATACCGGGTCAATATAGGTCGGAACAGACTCAAGGGCAATTAACAACAACAGACAGGTTTGCTATGAATCTGAATAGATTCTGGCGATATTTTTTTAGTGTAGGGAAGGACTCTGGAAGCTTGCAGAATAGACTAGCATTTGGATTCTAGGTTTGGTGTTCAATTCCAGTTTTACTGCTGTCTGATTTAGACGTTAGTCTCTCCATCAGAAAAATGAGGGTAACACTACTACTTTATAGGGCTGTTATTGGCATAATCTGAGTTGATTTTGGAGTATACAAGTACAACTGAATCTGTTGCGAACCATAGTGACCCTGTGTAAAATTTAGGAGTGGCTTGTGGGTTCAAACTGCTGACCTTGTGGTTTAAACTGACCTTGTGGTCTAGGGCTTTATCCTACCAGGACTCCTAGGGAAGGTGTTGTTAAGTGCCATCGAGTTGGTTCCAACTCATAACCACCCTGTATAGGGTTTCTGAGGAGCAGCTGATAAGCTTGAACCACTGACCTTGCGGTTCAAACCGGCCTTGCCAAGTATAAGGGCCTTGATTTTGAAAGCACCTTGGGCACAAAACAAAATTTTAGGTCATTTTTATGAAAACCAAAACAGAATCTATGGATATCTTGTAATTTATTCAGTGCTGTACTTAAAAACACAATTCTCGCTAATCTATGCTCATTTGTTGGTGACATTGTTAGGTGTCATTGTGCTGGAAGTAAAAGCTTGAAAACTAGATTCCCAAGGCAATGTCACTCTAACCCCAGACATTCTGTAATTAATAATAGCAGTTTAAAAGGAAGTTGCACTTTTGTAGGTATTCTTTGTACCAATCTCTGTTTTAATGCTTTACTTACATAAACTAAATGAAGACATTTTAAGGCTTTATTATGGAAGATCGCACAGCTAGGACACTTATTCCCTTGTAAATTAAAAGATAGTGCCTTGTCATTAAAACAAAAGTAACTATTTAATAACATTAGAATTCTCACCCAAAAATATAGCTCAGATTTAAATAGCAGTTCAGAGAACAGGAGCAAAATTCCTAGAAATTAAAAATTACATTGACTATGTCCCCTCCCCTAACCTTTTTGGTCAGTCACTGACTGGAAAGGGCGGGGAATTTAAAGGGGCGGTGGCAGCAGTTGGGTTTCCCCGCCGGCGCTTTCAGTCTTCAATGAGGTCCGACACTTGCTTATAATTACTCTTGTTGCAGCCTTCCTCCTCAGTTTTCTGTTAGCTTCTGAAGACTGCGTTAGCTATGTCTGGCCGTGGTAAGGGTGGGAAAGGACTTGGTAAAGGTGGTGCTAAGCGTCACCGTAAGGTTCTGCGAGACAACATCCAAGGTATTACCAAGCCTGCCATCCGACGTCTAGCTCGTAGAGGGGGTGTTAAGCGTATTTCTGGTCTCATCTATGAAGAGACTCGCGGGGTGCTCAAGGTCTTTCTGGAGAATGTGATCCGCGACGCCGTCACCTACACCGAGCACGCCAAGCGCAAGACTGTCACGGCCATGGATGTGGTATACGCGCTCAAACGCCAGGGACGTACTCTGTATGGTTTTGGAGGTTAAAGCGCTTTTCTTATCCCACCAAAGGTCCTTTTAAGGGCCGCCCACTGGTTTACAGAAAGAACTGTACTCTGGATGCATTTTACTGCTAAGAATTTGTCGTTTGGATTCATTCGCAGTGTGTGACACATTCTCTATGGACTCATAGCCACCCTGCATAGGGTTTCCGAGGCTGTAAAGATTTGCGGGAACGGAAAGCCTCATTTTCCTCCCGTGGAACGACTGGTATATTTTGAACTGCTGACCATGAGATTAGTACCACGATTCGGGAGTCCTGGGGTGACGCTGTGGGATAATGCGTCATATTGCAAAGTCGTTTGAACCTCAAGGTCGGTGGTTAAAGCTCACCAGCTGCTCCTTAGAAAACCCTATACAGGGTCGCTATGGGCCAGAATCTACTCAACGGCACTGAACAACAATAACATTTTAAACTACAGTGTGGTTATGACAAGCTTTAAAGTGTCCTCTAAATGGGGAGATCAATCCACTGATTATTAAACGTTTTTGGCATAATACTTGTGAGTAGTACTGATGTTTACTTGAATAAAAATAGAACTTTTGTTTTCTGGTTACTGACTTTGAAAATGTTGAGTAGGCAGTTTGATAGATAAGGTTCTTCAGGTTGTTTTAATAATCTGACATTCTTAATTTTCCAAAAATTCAAGCAAACTATTATAAATTACTTTTTAGGTTTAATTCCTAAAGCAAGGACATGAGGTTTCTCAAGGCTAATTAACATACCTATAGCACTTAATCTCTAATAGGTAAAGATGAAAAGGATTTAAAAGGTCTGAAGAAAGTCAAGCTGTTTCAGATACCTGGCTTAAGCTTTCAGGAGGAAGGAGAACATATAGGTCAAGCTGATTATACCCGGGGGCAGTTTGAAGGGGCTGCCACCATTGTCCCTTAATCCAATATTCCCAGAATTTACTACTCCACCTCAAGTGAATACCCCGGGCAGTTCCTCTCCAGAACCTCCCTGCGTAACCCCAGCAAACCTGCCCTTGTTCGTCCTGAGTCGCATGAGGAAGTTTTACTGCCTCAGTTCTAGGAGGAAGGTCGGTCTTATTTTTGTACATGGACAAGAGCTCATGTTTTAAGTTAATATCCAACATAACTGAATAGTTGTATAAAGTGTAATTCTGACATTCATTCCGGGTGGCTATAGCCTGTTTCTCAAAAAGGTCTGCTCCCAGGACCCTATGCACTGCCAACACAGTGGAGACACTAAAGGAGGCACATAAGAACCATTTTCTCAGAAGCTACAATTACTGGAGTTAGAAGCATAGAATGAATAATAAGACCAAAGAAAATTATACAGAGCTAGCCCAACAGTGAGTTCGTAAAAACCTATGAACCTGGGACGTCAGGAGGTCACTTCCTTTGGCCCTCAGGGTCCCTGGCTAGCAATTCTGAGTGGAGCCATTGTGTTGGATTTTCGTCCATGACACAGGGCCTCAACATCTCAGTGATTGCGGTCCCCAACAGAAGAAGACCTCTAGGCCTTTCTTCAGAGGTGCCACTGGGTAAGTGCAAACTCCAACCTTTAGTGTAATATCCACTGCTGGTACAGCCCATTCAGACTCATAGTGACCCTGTAGGATAGAAGAGAACTTTCTATAGAGTTTCTGAGACTTTAATCTTTATGGGAGAAGAAAGTTTCATCTTTCTCCGGAAGTGGGACTGGTAGATTTCAACTGCTGACCTTGGGGTTAGCAAGCCAGTT